AGTTGTAGACTTGTAAATTATTTCTTTTTTAGTTGATGCTAGGTCTCAAAATCCAATTCAATAAACAACTTTCTGTATCTCCCAGGAGCTAACTACAGTGCCCATGTTTTGTCTCTATCACTTGTGCTGCAATGACCACGCACATAGCTTCATCTAACATATGTCAAGTTGACCAAACGACCAACATCTTCTCACTAAATCAGTTCAATACAGCATGTAAGCTATGGACTGGAGTCTCATTACATTAGGAGTATAAAAGTTTAATAAAAGAGTAAAATCCTTTGTATAAATAAATCAGAGTAAATCGGCCTCGGTTAGGTTCAGAAACCAGGACACTAGTATATTCAGAGCAAAAATTTTACTGCGTTGCGTGATATCCCAATGAACCACTGAGGCAGTTGTTAATTAAAAATAGATTTATGCCTGAGCATCATATGTCTGCATAGTTCCTGGAGGGCCAAAGAGGGTGCCATATCCATCCCCTGGAATTGGAGTTAGAGACAGTTGTGAGCAGCTGTGTGGCTGCTGTGAACCAGGGGAGTTCCTCTGCAAGAGCAGCCAGTGCTCTTAACAGCTGAGCCTTCTCTCCACCTCCTATTCTTATTTTCTGTATTTAGTGCTGTCTTTCAGACTCAGCTGAACTCAAACACCATGTGTAAGTCTAATCTAGCTTAAAACCGAGAACAATCTATGTGTATTTGAGAAACTATAGGCATTATAGTTGACAGCTAAACAGCATCAGCATATTTCCAATGGGATGGGTTCTTGTTTCAGCCTGCTTTCCTTTTTTGGATGCAGATTGTTAAGCAAACACTTTCCTAAATTAGATGCATATTTGAACCTCATTCTGAGAGTGGTTGGACTTCCTTGTACTCAGTAAAAAAAAAAAAAAAAAAAAAAATCTTTCACTTTGAGATATCTGAAAATAGCATGCACACTGGTATTATCACACACTATTTTAAAGAAATGTATTGAAATATCCTTGAATTGGCCAGTTAGCAGCTGTAATTAAACATAGCTACCACCATTTTTATTGCATATTATGATTCAGGTAAAAATATTTTTATCAAACTGATTTCTTATCAAGCTTTGTTGACTAGTAACATTAAGTGTATGTAAGATGCCAATTTCATAACCCTCAAAATATGTCCATCTCATCTCCCATTTTCACTTCCTTCCATCCTTTATCAGAGGACAGGAAGTCATCCTCATGTAGCTGGACCAACGTCTCCCTTCTTTTGAGGCTGGGGGCACAGACATCATTATTATTCAGGTTTGGATCTGTTTCTTTCTTCTACAATTTATGTGTGTCACCTGGGAAAATGATTTACCTGCCCACAGGCTGTAATTTTCTCAGCAGCAAGTGGGTTACTTGAAGGACTCTGAAATGGTTCTGCAAAGAGAAAACATCACATCCCAGACACCTCCTCCAGACCAGAGATGGTGATTTTTGTATATTCTGGGGAGCAATATATTCATTTATAATATGTGCTTGATAAGGCGTGAAATTTAGTTTACGCTTTAAGTATTTTTATTTGTGAATAAATGAAAAAATTCTCCTCTCCCCATTTTGACCATTTGCATTCAGTTGACTGTATTTGACTAATGGTTTCATGGATGAGTGAAAGATATGCTTGGGGCTGGCAAGAATGCTCAGTGGTTAGGAGCACTGGCAACTCTTCCAGAGAAGAGAGCCCAAATTCTCAGCACCCACATGGTGGCTCGTAGCGTTTATGACGCTCCAGTTCCAGGGGATCTGTTGCCTTCTTCTGGAGTCCATGGGCACTGCAAATGCATGTGGCGCACAGAGAGACATACAGGCAAGCACTTAGATGCATAAAATAAAACAGAAACTGTTTAAGATATCCTTGGGCTTTTGTTAAGTATTGTCAGACTCAGATTACTGACATTTACAATTTATTTGCTTTGTATCCCATTTGTAGCCCCCTCCCTCATCTCCTTCTGGTCCCGCCCTTCCCCCTTCTTCCTCCCCTATCTCTCTTCCCTGGATTATTTTCCTTTTGATCTCCCGTCAGTCTTCTATCGCATAAATAGATGTTTGCTCACAGCTCTCAGAAATTGTGTCATACAGCAGGCTTGTCTGCTAATGTTCCTGTGCCTAAATCTGAACTTCCATTGTTAGGATGTAGGCTGGAGGGATCTTTAAGGTCATGTCTACAGTAAGAATATCACATAAATACTAGTATCACCTTCTTCAATCATTGCTGTACCCCTCTGAGAACCTTATGATTTCTTACTGGGTTATGCAGGTACAAAATTCAATGTCCCCAATGCATTTTTTTTCCTTCTGCACCTGAGAATTTCCTTTCAGCTCCTCTAGTGTTCTGTGACACAGCAGACAACATCCTTACCAGAGGAAGAGCAGGTGGGTTGGTTGCCTGATGTTGAACTTATATCTTCCAAAAATATCAGCTAATTTAACCAAATTTCTTTATAACAACACAGGGTCAATTATTTAGTTTTAGAAACAGAAAGTGATACATGTAGAAGGGGAAATGCAGCTCGACATTGCCATTTTTGTCAATCAGCTCACCTTGAGATGGAGCTAATGCCTTGGATTATCTTCCTGGGTGGCTAGTAGCTATCCTTTGTGGGATGGGTACAGTGTGATGTTCAGACTGAAGCTGATACCTACACAGGAGAATGTACCTGTATCACTGTGAACAGCAGACAGTAAGCTATTTAAGTACCCGTAGGCATATACAGCATATGGCATACACAAATACTAACAATCTTTTGGGGCCTGACCCTACCACACCCACCATGGTAGAGGAAGTGTTCCTGAAGTGATGCTTTCATGACAATATGTCCGGGGGCTGCACAATGTGAGCATCTTTACTTGAACAAGGAACCTTCTGCATTTGGGGAACTTTAATTTTCAGTTCTGCTTTTCAGCTCATGATTTTGCTGCCCTTTACAGTTAAGACCTAATTTATAAACCATCTGCATATCATGAGAGCAGACAGGGGCTCTTCAGTGATAACATTTACATGACCAAAACCTTTACATGTATCCCAACTATGTATTACACAGTCTGAAAGTACTGTATAGCTAGAAGTCGCAAGCACTCTTGAGCCCATATCTATGGTGAACATTGAGGTTGATATTAAACAATTAGGATGACGCTGAGGCTCATAGTTAAGATGCTAACAGCATCTAAGCTGGACTGAACATTGGGAATGAACAGGCATTAAATCAAAGTCATCCTCCATAAAACCAAGAAGAATTCTGAAGAATAAAGCAGGAACAACAAAGACGTAAGGATGCTGATAAGGTTGTTCCTATGGCAGTGGTATATGTGGGTAAGAAAACAGTGATGTATCTGTAGGAGATTGTCCAGTAGAATGGAATCAAATCCAGACCCACGATGATCCCATGTTTCCTTCCCTGTATCCCTGTATGTCTCCTCTGTGTTCATTATGACAACTGTATGATCAGGCTCTCAGTGTGTCTCTTCTGTTCTGAAGCCTCCCAGCTACATCAACCTTCATCTTCCCTTACAATGAAACACTGCTCTCCAGGCGTGTCATGATGCTTGCCCTCCTGAAGTCTTAGTAGCTGTTGGTTATACACAAGTGACCTGACAAGGTGGTACAGGTCCCATCAATTGGTCCCATCAATATTTGTTTATGGCGTAAGGTTCCTGAGGCCACTCCTTCCCACTGGAACTATAGCCAGTTGAAAGGCTCAGGGTAAAGCTTTTATGCAGTGATATAACCACTGAAAGGTTGCCAATATTGCTTTGTATAGGGGAGGACAGATTTAGCTTAACACTTGGAAAGCAATGGCTTCTTGGTGGATTTTTCTGAGTTAAAGCCAATCAGGTCCACATAATGAGTTCCAGGACAGCTACATAGCAAAACTTTGTCTGAAAAAAAACATGCAAACGTTGACCACACTCTTCTACAAAAATCCTAATATAATTCACTGGTCCACCAGCTGTACTTGTCTTTATTTCAGCTACTTGTATCTCATCTTGGATGAGTAGTCACTGTTCATGTATTCCCAGAAAAAGTTCACACTATGTCCCCAAGCCATTCACTGGCTGGGTAGACAACTCACCATTAGTTTCATCCAGTTGAGAGATAACAAAGAAGAAGCTTTGAGGAAAAAAAAGATCAAGCAGCTTGAGTCCCCTTGTGAAGGTGCTAGATCAGGAACATACCAGGTTTGTTTCATATTAAGTCCTGCTTCTTGGTGATTGGAACCATTCAGACAGACATAAATGGGTACAATTGAGATGTTCTTCAGAAAATGGACAAAGTCATATTTGGGTTTGTTATGAAACACACACACAGGCAGCTGAGGGAGTAGGAGTCTGAGAGCCAGATGAGACTGAAAAGCTCCTGTCTCAGAAAGGAGAACCAAAACTAAAGAATGAAAAAGAGACGGAAACCACATATTCTGTAGGGCAATCCATCACAGAAATGGGAAACAAGAGCCATGTACTTCAGAATATCAGTTCCTCTTCCTCAGGGGCTGATACTATGACATCCTCATGACATAGAGAAGAAACCCGCTTGCATAGGACATACACTTTGTGTTCTTCCATTTGGCAAGAAGACAAACTATCTGGAAGTTTGTGACAACTGGAAGATGCCATGACTCCCATTATTATAGCCCTTCTGTATCTTGGTGAGATGGGAAGGTGGGAGGAAGAATTCTAGTCTGAGAGGGAATCCATCTCACAGCCATGCTTTGGCCCTTCAGGGTCTCTCAACAGCTGAGAAGTCATCTGGAATTGCAGGGCCTGCTCAGGCTTCAGTGCAAACACTCACAGGGAACTCTCTTGCAGGACTGAGCCTGGTCTCTGGGAACCCAGCACTGTCAGGTGAGTGTCTTCTTATCTGTCCCAGACTGCACATCCTTGATGGGGACTACAGGTCACTCCTGAACTGAAAAGATGGAGAATAGCAGGTGTGAACTGATTGTTGGGGTACCCTGAAGGTACCGGATCTGAGAGCTGCTCTCAGATGGAGATGTCCTTGGATCCAGCTGCCGATTTTCTTGCAGGGGCTCTCTCTAAACCCACAATTAGAATGGTGCCAAGCAATGTGGTAACCAGTGGGAACCAGGTGACCATCTTCTGTGAAGGATCCTTACATGCCCAGGAATATTGTCTCTACAAAGAAGGAAGTAAAGATTACTGGATGCCAACAACCCCTTTAAAAACTGAGAACAAAGCCAGGTTCTATATTTCATCAATTCAGTGGGCCCATTCAGGCCGATATTGGTGTTCCTATAAAAGCCTCATTAACATGTCAGAATGGAAAAGTGACATCATGGAACTTGTGGTGACAGGTGAGAAGACCCTTCCCTAACTGCACAATCTGTCCTGAGGAAAGGAATGTGTTCGCTGGAGGCTTCTTCCTCAAATGTGAGAAGAGGGGAGCAATGCTTCCAGGAGGAGTCCACTTGACAGGTTTCCTCTTCTCTCTTAGGTGTTTACCGAGGCAAAGTCACCCTGTCAGCCATTCCCAAGTATGTTGTGATCTCAGGAGAGCATGTGACCCTTCAGTGTTTCTCAAAAGTGGCCTATGACAGGTTCATTCTAATGAAGGAAGATGAGAAGCTCTCCATGGCTGTGCCAGCACGGAAAAGATACACTGGGAGATTCCAGGCCATGTTCACAGTGGGTCCTGTGACTCCCAACCAGAGATGGAGGTTCACATGCTATGGATATTACTTGAGTAATTCCCAGATATGGTCACTTCCCAGTAACCACCTAGATCTCTTGGTCCCAGGTAAGGAAGCCTTTTCCTTTCCCTTACAACTGACACAGATTCCCAGGGAAGGACCTGGTGTGTCCTGGGTAATTGAGGGTTAATGCTACTTAAACCAATGTTAGAGAATGCGTGATACAACTGTCCTTGGGATGCAGAAATGAGAGTTGATATTAAGAGTGGAACGGAAAATCCTGGGGAAAGTGTTGCCCTTCTATATTGTAGATCTCTGTCATTTGCAAATGTGACTTCCTTTGAGCAACTGTCCAAATACACACACCTCATGTTCTTCTACTTCTTTTTTAGGGACCCTCCAGAAACCCTCCATCTGGGCTCATCCAAGTTCTGTGATGACCTGGGGTAGCCCTGTGACCATCTGGTGTGAGGAGAACCAAGAAACCCAAAGATATGTGCTATACAGAGAGGGAAGCCAAGAGTTCTGGTACATGCAGGTAGAAAAGGACCACAACAAGAAGGCAAATTTCACCATCCCATCTGTGTCACAACTGAATGCAGGACAATATCGCTGCTACTCTTACACCTCTTTTGGGTGGTCAGAACCCAGTGACACCCTGGATCTGGTGGTTACAGGTGAGAGTGCTCTCAGGGGTCTTAGCTCCAGTGTTATTCTCAAGCAAATCCTGCCCTAACTGTACCTCCTATCACAGACCAACCATGGAGGATATGCGGTCTGTGTAAGCCCATTTGATATTCCACATGTATCTTTCCTAGGAGTCTACAAAAATCTACCCTTAGGACCCTGGAAAATCCTGTTGTAAACCTGGGCATGCCTGTGACAGTCTTGTGTTCCTCAGCTGAAAGATTTAGCGTCCTATAACATGTTCATTCTAATGAAGGAAGAAGAGAAGTTTTCCAGGCCTTGCCCTCAAAGAATACATACCATGAACAATCTGGAGCCTTGTTCACAGTGGGTTCAGTGACTTCCAGCCAGGGATGGAGGTCCCCAGGCTATGGCTGTTCCTAGCTGTGGTCAGTGCCCAGGAACATCTGGGCTCCTTCAGACTCGATGATCCCCTAAGAGAGTCCCATGACCAGCTGGTGTGAGGGCATCCTAGGATCCCATAAATATGTTCACATAAATGGAAGCCCAGAACCCTCAGACAAAGAGACCCAAATAGACCACAACTGTGAGGCTAAATGCCTAATCCCTTCTGCAACAAGCCTGCATGCAGGGCGATATAACTGTTACTCTTACAACTCTGGTGGGTGGGCAGAGCACTGTGACAGCCTGCAGCTCGTGGTGACAGGTGGCAGGGCACTAAGGCTCACAACTCTTGACTCTTTCCTCAGGGAACATTTATTTCCAAACTTGTTCTTCCACAGCCAGTCTTCTGGAGAAAGTTATAGTGCTTTAATTTTTTTATATTATTATTGAATTTATTCCTCATTTAAGATCTTCTAATCAAGGTTCTTATAGCCCTCATATAACTTTTTATTTTTTTTATTTTTCATTTCTTTTTCAATATTTTAAAATAAATAATTTTTAAATAACTTGTTCACTTTATAGTCCCCTCCCTCTTCTCCTCCTGGTCCCACTCCCTCTCTCTTCCCTCCTATCTCCCTCCCCTAGTCCCTAGAAAGAGGGAGCCCTCCTTCTCTACCTTCTGAGCCTAGCCTATCAAGTCTCATCAGGACTGCCTGCCTCCTCTTCCTCGGTGTTAGAGACTGAGGTGTTTCACTTAACAGTCTGCCTCCTTCTGTCCTAGGTGTCTATCATGACAAACCTTCTGTGTCAGCCCCTTGGTGACCTCAGGTAGGAATGTGACCCTCAGGTGTGTCTCATCAAAAAGATATGATTGGTTCCTTGTGACTGGGAAAGATCTAAAGTTCTCTGTGTCTCAAAAGGCACAGTTGATACACACAGGACAGTTCCAGTCTCTGTTTCCTGAGCTCTCTGTGGCATCCAGAAAGAGTGGGCCCTTTGGGTATTATGGGTATTACACAAGTACTCCACATGTGTGCTCAGTGGCCAGTAACCCTCTGCAGATACATGTTTCAGGTGAAGAATTCTTTACATTTATTTCAACTGTCTTTTGACACCCAGAATAGTTTGTCATATGCCCTGCTGCTCTCAGGGGCATTCTGGGAAAGCGTTGATGGGAACATTTGACTACTAAAGCCCAGAGTATGAGAGGCCATGACACTGTCAGAGCAGAATGAGAAGTAGCATGTACTGCAAGATCAAGATGGATGACTTCCTGTATCTCCTCCTCCTAGGACTGTCAAGAAAGCCCTCCCTGCTGAACCAGCAAGGCTCTGTGGGATAACTCTGAATCCTTGACCTAGGAAGTTCTTAGCTGGGTTAGGAATACTTTTACCTTGGGGAGGACTAGAAGAAGAGGGTTTATTATTCAGTGATTAAGAAATAAACTGATGTTACCATCTTTATGGGAATCTAGAAGATTCCAGTTAGGAAGCTGGCAGGTTCTGGAGAGGCTGCAGTGTAGAAGCAAGGCTGAGAAGAGATGAAATAATTAGGACAGCCTTCCACATTTCATTCCCTTCACCTATTTGCCACAGTCTCCTCGGGGCATTCCAATCAAAGTTGTAGATTTTCCTGTCTAGGGAAAATCCCAGAGTGTGTGGAGACTTTCAGTTCCCACGAGTCGAGTCTTCATTCCTATATCGGCTTCTATGGTGCGCTATGTGCTCAGTATGAAGCAGAGATCGCAGAAACCAGAGGTCCCCAGAAACCAGAGGCTCAGATGCTAGCTTGTAAGAGTCCATCCTGATAAACAGTGATATTGGGGGAAGCACAATGAGAGCAGGTGTCAGTTACCCTGATCTCTTCATCCAATTGTATCAGGCCCTTACAAACAGCTCTTCACCACGTGGTGTTTGACCACAGATGTCTTAGCATGAACTCTGTTCCTAAGGGCATTCATGCTAGTTATGTAGTTGGTGATTTCTCTTCCGGAGAGGCTGACATGGGAAAAGTCTCCTTTGTGGCTCTCTGTTTCTATAATGTAAACGGGAGAGCTCTGGCACAGACATCATGTTCCTTTTCGTGCTCATTTTATCTGTGTCATCTGCTGACAGAGAAAGACTCTAGAAATGACTTTTGCAATAGGCCTGCCCCCATCTGTGGTTGTGATGATGACTTTGTGTAGGGTGTGGTACATGGTTAGGGCAGGGCATTCAGGATCCTTACTTCCAGTTTGTGAGGTTTAGCTTCAGTAGAGTTTTATTCAGTAGAATAAAATGGGAGGCCAGACTCTCTAGGATCAATCCTCAGCCATAGACCTTCATGCTAGGTGACATGGGGCAAGTAACTTGACTAGAAGTGTTGGGATATGGTTCCACGTTAGCTGGTTATGAGAGTGAAGGAAATGTAAACAGCCAGCATATGCCTCACACACTGTAGATTCTTTTTAAAACTTATTTTTTTCTCATGCCATCCATCCAGGCTGTAGCTTCCCCTCCATACACTCATGGGTCCTCCAATCTCCACTCTCCTCTAGACATGCTGTGTCCCCCAGAAAGAACAGACCATTTGGGAACATCAATTGAACAGGCACAACATGGAACAATAAGAACAGACACAAACTCTCTCACCAAAGCTATGCAAGGCAACTGAGTAATTGGAAAGGGGTCTCAAGAACAGTCAAAAGAGTCAGAAGTGACTCACTCCCCCTTTTGAGAGTCCCTGGGAAAACACTAAGCCGATATAAGACCCTTCATTGTAACTCACAAGAGGCATATAACATATTCATTCTCATAAAGAAAGTAGACATTTTTCCAGTGCTGCATATATTCAGAATAGATACAATGAATCATCTAGGGCTCAGTTTGCATTGGGTCCTGTGACCCCAAACTGGAGGCAGAGTTTCATATGTTATGATATTACGTGAATAGCCCCCAGAAGTGGTCAGTGCCCAGTAATCACCTGGGGCTCTTGATCTCAAGTAAGGTAGCCCTAGCTTCTCTTTTGAATTATATTACAAGTGACATCAGATTCCAGGAAGGGACCTGATGTGTGTTGGTTGATTGAGACACAGGGCTACAGAACCCAATATCATAGAATGTATTATATTGCTGTGTTTGAGGTACAGAAACATTGGCATATACTAACAGTTGATGCATTTCATAAAGACATTTTCATACAAGCAGTGATCACCCTTGCTCCTGCTTTTCTTCCTTTCCTTCCTTCTCTTCTCCCTCCTTCCCTCCATCCTTCCATTCATCCCTTCCTTCCTTTCTCCCTCTGCAAGATATTCTCATTTCTATTACAGTGTCTCATTCTTTTATATGTTTATGAGTGGTATTTTATGAGCCCATAATCAATTTGGGCTTCAAGGATGATAAAACCATGTGATGTCCATTACATCTGATTTATATGATATAATGTGAAGACTGCCCATTGCATCTGTTTCTGTGGAAAGCTATTTTTTTTTGTGCACCAGTGATCATTAATTCAAACATGTACACCAATAATTAAAGATGTTATGTAAATAGATATAGCTAAACACATGTAATTATACATATATGGTTACATGTATTTATAGTTACAGGACTTCATCTCTGCTAATGCAGTAAATATAATGTTCAATTACTATGTTTTTTTCCTATTTTGTCTCAGCTGGTCTGTTAGGTGTACATGTCACACATTGAACTACTCATGGAAGTGTATTCATATTTACTTGAGTTACATTTTAGATGTTTTGAACTATGCAATGGTAGGTTAACGAGATGCTGAATGGATGATGATGGATAATGGAAGGCAGATGTAGTGGGTATAGGGAAGGTAGGCCCTGAATGCCAATGAAGAGCAACTCCTTCTTGACAGCGACTTCTTAGCTAATGGCTCCATGGAAATCTATCTCCAGGGGAATTTCCTTCCATGTTTCCTTCCCCAAACTGAGAAGGAAGCATAAGAGGCTTCCTTAATTTTAAACTGAAAATGACAGGTGATTTTCTTCACCAATTCTTAGTTCTCAGTGCTTGTATAAACTTTATGCTCAAGTGTCTTGGACTAAAGTATGAATTCAAACAGTTTGATGTATCTGAAGAATTCAATAAGGAAACCAGCGTGAATCATGGCACACCAAGGAAAGGGCTTATACTGGATCTTTGTGACGTTATGGGACGAGCCTAATGTGCACTTACAAGAAATGAAAAGCACAGGTACTGCCAATGCTGATCTCTGGGAAAACACTTAGGCCTCTTAAGTACTAATTAACTACCAATTGTGTACCTTCTCTTCTGTTATTAGGATCTGCTGAGAACACTACTGCATCACAAAACATGTCCAACCCAAACACAGGTGAGTGAGGAGAATATTCAGTCATAGAGCTGGTACAAGGATGTCTAATCATCCTTGGATGACTTTGTTTTCCCCTGCTTTCTTTGTCCTCAACCACAGCTCCAGAAATACAGGATCATCACACAGTGGAGAATCTTATCAGGATAGGGATGGCTGGCTCGGTAATTTTGGTCCTTGGTATTCTGGTATTTGAGGCTTGTCCCAGCTGGACAACATGAAGATATAAGGTAAACAGGAGAGACAAAAATGCATCCTTTGTGGCTTTAGGGATGAAAAGCTCCTCCAAAATTAAAGGTTTTTGTTGTTGTTGTTTTTTACATCTTGCTTGTGGGCTTTTGCTGTCCAGTACCTTGTTTCTTCTTACCTAATGATGTGGTGAAACATCCTGCACCATCAACCAGGTTTGGATCTTTATCTTTGTACATATTATACTTTGTCTGGCTTTCATATAACATTTTCTATGATTTCAAATTCCCCTCCACCTATATTATGAGTTTCAATTTTTTTCCTTCTCAGAACAAAGTAATTGGCTCAATTACAATAATTGTCAGCATAAATTGTCAGACTCCAGACTGAAAAATAAATGGCTTAAATCAAAAGATGCCCTAAAGTTCATTCTGGAAACTATAAAACTCTAGTTTTCAATATATGTCCATTGCGTTATTCCTCTTAAAATGAAAAAGATTGTGTCCAACCAATGCCTGAGACCCAGCCCATGAGAGAGAGCCAACCCCTAACACTATGAATGACATTCTGCTATGGTCACATACAGGAGCCTAGCATAGCTGTCCTCTGAGAGGCTCCACCCATCAGTAGATCAAAACAGATGCTGATACTCACAGCCAAATATCAGGTGAAGCAGAGGGAGTCTTGTGGAAAACTGGGAGGAAGGATAGAAGGACCTGGAGGTTCCAGGAGCTCCACAAGAAGACCAACTAGTCAAGTAACCAGGGCCCAAAGGACTTGAAGAGACTGAAGCACCAACCAAGGACCATGCATGGACTGGACTTAGGCCCCCTACACAGATGTAGCAGATGGGCAGCTCAGGATTCATGTGGATCCCTTATTAAAGGGAACAGGGGCTGTCTTTGACATGAACTCTGTTCACTGCTTTTTTTTATCAGTCCTTGCTGGCAGAGCTGCCTTGCTGGGTCACAGGAGAAGAGGACGAGCCCAGTCCTGATGTGGCTTGATGAACTAGGGTGGGTGGGTAAGGGGATTCGTCTTTTCTGAGAAATAGGGGAGGGCCAATGGGGGAAAAGAGAGGGATGATGGTATCGGGAGGAAAGAAGGGAGGGGACTATGATTGGGATGTAAAGTAAATAAATAAATTAATAAAAAAATGAAAATATTTGGCATTGATGTATCATTTAGAGTGAACTCACTAGTTGGACACTGTTGATATAGCTTTCTTGATATCGCTTATAAATCATCATTTTACTATTTTTATAGAATCAGTTATTTTATTATTTACTTTAAAAAGTTATTAAATAAAAACCACAAATATATCCTTTAATATAAGAACTAATCACTCACTTCTACTTTAAATCCTCAGGTACACATCTATTCAATGAAATTTTTTATTTAATCCTAATAGGAAGCTGAGGGCAAAAATGGGTACAAGAAACTAATCATCACCTGATCACTAGCCTAGCTTTAGTGAGCAAGTTAGAGCTTCTACTAGTTCTTGTTTCCTGACCTCAAAAATCCCTAGCTCAACTATTAAGAGTGTGCCTTCCTGAAATTAAAACTGTTTCCTAAGATTTTCTACATCAAAGTCACTATTAAAAATATTTAGAAATTTTTGTTCACTTGACATCACTATTGTAGCCCAGTCTCTCATCTCTTTTCAGTCCTACCCATCCTGCCCTCTCTCCCCAATAACCTTCCCCTAGTCCTCATGAAGAGGAAGCCCTCCACCTCTACTAACTGACTCCTGCATCAGGACTGCCTGCATCCTCTTCCTCTGTGCCCTGGCAATGCCACTCTGCCAGGGAGAAGTGATCAAGGATCAGGCAACAGAGACCATGTCAGAGACAGTTTTTGTTCCCCATACTAGGAAGCCTACATGGAGACTGCCTGTGGACAACATCAGAGCAGGGAGTTTTGGTCCTCTCCATGCATGGACCTTGGTTGGTACATAAGTCTCTGCAGGCCCTCCAGGGCCCAGATTTGTTGGCTCTGTTGGTGTTCTCCTGGTCCATCTATCCCTGCATTCTGCCCAAAGTTTGGCTGTGAGTCTCAGAATCTGCATCTATCACCTGTGAGAGGAGTCTTTCAGAGGACATCTATGGTAGGCTCCCATCCTGTTCCCTCCCTTCAGCCACTTCTGGTGTCTATTCTGTTCGTCCTTCTGAATGAGAATTAGCCATTCTCCCTAGGGTCTGTATTATATAACAGGATAACCTGTATTATATGGCCAATATTAGCTGGTAAGTGAGTATATACCATGCTTGTCTTTCTGGGTCTGGGTTACCTTACTCAGGATGATCTTTTCCTGATCTATCCATTTGCCTGAAATTTTCATGATGTCCTTGTTTTTAATAGCTGAATAGTATTAATTGTGTAGATGTACTACTGTCTATCTATTTTTTGGTCAAGGGACATCTGGGTTGTTCTCAATTTCTGGCTACTAAGAATAAAGCTACTAGGAACATAGTTGAGCAAATGTTCTATGGTGAGGAAACTTTTGGGTGTATTCCCAGGAGTGGTAAAGCTAGGTCTTGAGACAGAGCTGTTGCCAATTTTCTGAGAAAGTGCCAGATTGATTTCCAAAGTGTTTGGACAAGTTTTCACTCCCACCAGTAATGGAGGAGGTTATCCTTTCTCCACAGTCTTACCAGCATCTTCTGTCACTTGAGTTTTGATCTTTGCCATTCTGAAAAGTGTAAGATGGAATCTCAGAGTTGTTTTGTTTTAAATTTCCCTGATGACTAAGGATGCTGAGCATTTCTTTAAGTGCTTTTTGGCTATTCCTGAGTCCTCTGTTGAGAACTCTCTGTATAATTCTGTACCCAATTTTTTAATTGGATTAATTGGGGTTTTTTTGGTGTTTAATTTCTAGAGTTCTTTATATATTCTGGATATTCGCTTTCTGTCTAATGTAGGGTTGTGGAAACCTTTTCCAAGTCTGTAGGCTGTTTTGTTCTATTGACAGTGTCTCTTGCTTTACAGAAGCTTTTCAGTTTCACGAGGTCCCATTTATTAGTTGTTGATCTTAGAGAGTGGGCAGTTGTTATTTTGTTCTGGAAGTTTTCTCCTGTGCCAATGAGTTCAAGACTCTTCCCCACTTTTTCTCCTAATAGATTTAGTGTGTCTGGTTTTATGCTGAGGTGTTTCTGCAGGGTGATAAATATGCTTCTATTTGCTTTTTCTACATGTAGACATCCAGTTGGATTAGCACCATTTGTTGAAGATGCTATCTTTTTTTTATTGTATGGTTTTGGCTTCTTTGTAAAAAAAAAATCAACTCTCCATAGGTGTTTGGATTATTTCTGAGTCTTCAATTCAATTTCATTGACCTACCAGTCTGTTTTTTATGCCAGTACCATGCAGATTTTGTTATTTTGTTATTTTTTTTAGATACTTGCTGGAGTTCTTTTATTGTACAATATTGTTTTAGCTATTCTGTTTTTGTTCTGTTTTATTTTTATTTTTCATATGAAGTTGAGAATTGTTTTTTCGGGGTTTGTAAAGAGTTGTGTTGGTATTTTGATGGCAATTGCATTGACTCTGTAGATTGCTTTTTGCTGGATGGCCATTTTCACTTTGTTAATCCTACAGATCCATGAGCATGAGAGATTTTCCGTCTTCTGATAGCTTCTTCAGTTTCTTTCTTCAGAGACTAAAGTTCTTGTCATACAAGTCTTTCACTTGCTTGGTTAGAGTTACACCAAGATACTTCATGGGTTTTTGTGAAGGGCATTGTTTCCCTAATTTCTTTCTCATTTGTATATGGAGGAGGAGGAGGGACTACTGATTTTTTTTCTTTTTTTTTTTTTTTAGTTAATTTTGTATTAAGTTAGCAAATCCTAGTGACAATGGTCTCCAATAGCATCCACTGAGCTTGTCTTTATTTCTTGGAGTAAATTTCCCAGTCTCTTGGCAAGAACTGGTCAACAAAAGCTTGTGGTACGTTTTGTGAACAGACCCTCAGTTCTGAGTCCCTCAGAGCCTCTATCCTCGTCAAATAAATAATGGTAGGCTTTTGTGAGTTTTGGTGTGACTCAGCTATGATCTTGAAAGATATCCAAGAACCCACAGGCACAAAAGCTTGTCTGCAACAGAGTTACAGAAAGTCTGAATTAGTTAAGGTCAAGACTAAGGTAGAAAAACACAGGTCATAGTCAAGGACTGAGAGCTCAAATATTCACCTCTCTATCCAGCTTCCACAGAGTCCAAAGACCAATCATCCACCACCACTGAGAATGGCAAGTTAGGGCTCTCCTGGGAGAGCCCCACACTCCCTCCCTGGTCTCCTCCCTGCCCCTTTCCAAGTCCCCTGATAGGGGAGGACCTCCTCCCCTTTCATCTGACCCTGTTGTATCAGGTATCTTCAGGGCTGGCTGCAAAGTCCTCCTCTGTGGCCTAACAGACTGCTCCTCCCCTGGGGGGGGGTGTCAAACAGCCTGCCCTTGAGATCCTGTTAGAAATAGTCTGTGTTCCCCTTACTTTGGAAAACTACTTGGTTACTGAGCTACCACAGGCCACATCCGAGCAGAAGTTCTAGGTTATATCCATAGATGGTCCTTGGTTGAGTGTCAGTCTCAGAAAAGACCCTGTGCCCAGATATATTTGGTCCTTGTAGAGCTCCTATCCTTTCCATATCATACTAACTTCCCTTCTTTCATATGATTCCCTGCACTCTGCCGAGGGTTTGGTTATGAGTTTTAGTGTCTGCTTTGAAACACTGCTAGGTAGAGTTTAACCACTTTTTAATAGTCTACTCTGATACTTCGTTTCTCTGGGGAAGCTCAAAACATTATTACACGAAAAAAGCACAACCATATAAGAATCATGTGTGAAAGAAAATTCTCAAATACAGACACAAAATGTCTAGCATTGTCAGGAGATAGGGACTGGGTGCACAGTCATTTATGGTGAGAAGATTTGGTTTAACCTTACTCTTTTGACTTCTTTCTGCAGAACCCCCCAGCCTCACAGCACCAAGGTCACACAGTTGAAACTCACAGAGATGGTTGTGGTTGTTTTGGTTCTAATGACTGTAGTGGTTCTTCTGTTAGAGGCTTGGTACAGCCAAAACGTGAAAGAAGGAGCAAGGAGGAGATAAACAAGAATGACAATTAAGCTACACACTTTACCAAACCAAGGGAAATAAATTTAGTGATCCCTTACAATTGTGGGAAAAAAACAAACAAACTTGGGTGTATATTAAGGACCTGAGAAGGTCCAGGGAGCAAATGTGTTTTGGGTACATAGAATTCTGGAGATTCTGTCTCTGTTTTTTCTGAAGTTGGTCTGAGAAGTTGTCAGAAGTGTGTGAATTCTGTTCTCATTTGACAAGCTTTACATATTACTGGCATTAGAAATTCAGCACCATCTTTCCCATAGCAGAAACTCCCAGGGAATTCCAATTCCTTCAGGTCCATTTTCTCATTAGCCAAAGGGAGAGGACTCACCTAGAGAGTAAGCCCTTCTCTCTGGCTGAATAGTTACAGCCCCAAACAATGAGGAGTTATTGTTCCCAAAATGTCAACATGCCAAAGTCCAGAAACCCTGCTAGTGCCCAGCGTCTTTAACTATGCTTTGTGACCCCAAATGGGGTCATGAAACTGAAAATGGGGTGGTGAAAAGTTACAACCTTTGTATTTGTGCCACTGTTGCATGTCTTGCCTAGTCATTATTGCAGCTCATAGGTTTCTTAGCTTAGTAAGATGGATGGTTATTGTTCTCCTCTGGTAACAGGCATAGAACCTTCCAGCATTATGAAAGCTAGCTAGGAGGGGTGAAGTGTCAAGGCCATGACCAGCATGATCTCTCTATGTGACATGACTCAGGCACATGGTGTCTTCAGCAACAGAACTTGGCCACAAATCGTGTATAGTGACCTACAACATTGGTGACCTCTGCTACGTCAACTATACTCCAGTGGATAGCCACACACCCAAGAGTATACAGGCAGCGTAAGCCTGGAGTGGACAGATTTTTTTTTTTATGAGGACACAAAATTGGGTGGTTAGGGAAGATGCGTGGATCTGAGGGGAGTTAGGGAATGAGGGTGAATATGATAAAAATACAGAGTGTGACATTATCAGAGATTCATTTAAAACCACATCAATCAATTCTGAAAAAAACTTTGAAGATGCTGTACTTTTTATAGCATTAACTATTCAGTCAAGACTTAATTCTTCATGTAAAAACAAACAAACACACTTATCTCAATGTATAAAAATGCTTTTATTTTTAATAAATGTTAAATATATAAATATATATATATCAGATCATTGTTTTAAAATAAATTTCCTTATAATTTCTGAGTTGCATGCTTATTTTATATACATATTCTAAGTCATGAAAATGTTCTAGAGAGAAAGGGGTCATCAATGAAAGCATTTAAGATGCCTTCCTTTAAGGGAGTATCCACAAATTCACAGCAAGGCAGAGAGAGAACAACCTGTCTACCAGAGAGGACCAAACCCCTTGTTTTCTTCCCTGGAAACAAGGATGCTAACTCAACGATGTAGATCAAAGTGCCTCAAAGTTCAATATGCACAGAAGCCATTCAAGAATTTTGTTCAGTTTTTTTGAGAATTGCACACACACACACACACACACACACACACAGAATATGTTTTGATCAGATTCATGGCCTCCAGTACTGGAAATTTTGTGTAAGTGTGGAACTGAGCTCATGTAAGATGAATCCGGAGGGTCTGCTTTTCTCAAGGATCCTTTTCTTCTTTGGATATATGCCTCATAGTCTGCTTATCCTGTACTATATGGCTAAAATCCCCTTATAAGTGAGTACATATCATGTGTGTCATTCTGGGTCTCAGTCACCTCACTCAGGATAATCTTTTCTAGTTCCATCCACTTGCCTACAAATTTCATGATGTTTTTCAATAGCTGAGTAGTATTCCATTGTGTAAATAGAATAGTGTGTGTGTGTGTGTGTGTGTGTGTGTGTTCCATTCTTTGGTTGAGGGATATCTGGGTTGTTCCAGATTCTGGCTATTATGAATAAAGCTTCTATGAACATTGTTGAGCAAGTGTCCTTGGGAACTATTTTGAGGTGCTGCTGGGTAAAGTCTCTCAGAGGACAACTCTGTCAGAGCCTCAAAACAGATGCTGAGGCTCACAGCCAAACATTGGGGCATGTGTAGGGAACCTCATGGAAAAGTGGGAGGAAAGAGAAAAGGACCTGGAGGTGACAGGAGCTCCACAAGGACAGCAACAGAGCCAAACCTCCAGAGCCCAGAGGAGCTTGCTGAGACTGAAGCATCAACCAAGGACCATGCATGAACTGGACCTAGGCCTCCTACAAAGCTTTAGCAGATGAGCAGTTTAGGCCTCATATGGGTCCTCTAGTAAGGGAAGTGGGGACTGCATGGGACACAGGCTCACTTGCCAGCTTTTTAATAATTTCCCCTGGTGGGAAAGGAACATGCTCAGTCCTGATTCTACTTGATGAGCTGGGGTGGATGGGAAAGGGAGTTCTTCTTTTCTGAGGAAGCAATGAGGTGGGAAGGGGAGAGAGGGGGGAGATTCAAGAGGCATCTCAGAAACCATGAGAAAGAAAAGAAGCTATTGTTTCCAGATAGAAAAGCTCTGCTCTGCGCCTGGAGTGTGCCTTTGGTGTTGTGAGTTTTCAAGATTATCAAGAGGCAGATAGCCAACATTGTATATCCACAAATGGGCCGTTCTTTTTACATAAGTAGTGTTATTTGGGTTTTGGAATTTTTACATGTGTGGTGTTATTTAGGCTTGCCAATGGTTTTAAAACAAGATACCAGTATTTAGATAGGATTGCCAACTTATTTTAACAAAAAGTACCAGAAACTGGATCTAGCCCCCCTTTTTAAAAGACACACCAGATTCTTTGTATGAAGAGAGACAATGTCTCTGAGAGGAGATCCTCATTTTGCCCATCTAGTCAGGGCTTATACATGTCATGACCAGCACAGGAGGCTGATCCTTGGCTGCATTTTTACTGACAGCTCTCTGATGCCAGGTATTTCTTTGTCCTCAGGTTCATTAACGAATTTGCTAGAGACAACTACAAGCACATGGAAGGAGCCTACAGGCTGAAAGACATCTTAGTCTATAAATGCTCGCTTTGTCCTTACTACGGTGAGGATGTTAGGTGGCCTGAGCATGGTGACCTAGGAAATGTGTCCACTGGATAGCATGCTTAGTACGTGCTCCTGTTCTCTCCAAACACTGGCCATGAAACCAAAGTTTCATTAACAGCTATCAACCATGAAATGAAATTTTTGGAGGAGACTTTTATGAAGTCGGAAAGCAAATATCACAGGTCGCCAGAAGAAGAGCACAACCCACATCCTCCCTCACAGCAAAGGCGATGTTGGCTGTGTAACATGACAGAACCTCTCTGTTAAGGTGGGGAAGTTGGAGAAATGGCATGCAGCCTGTGTAGTCTAACCAGTGGGAAGGGAACCCCATAAGCCACAGATGCCCTGTCCGTAGTCTGTCACACAATGCACATGGCTCTCTGACAGCCACTCGCACTTGTGTTTCCTTGCTGCGTGAGAGACTCAGGGTTGTGTTCAATTATAACTCTCTTTCTTTTTGTTCTGTTTCTCAGTTTTCTAGTGACCTTAGAAGTGGTTAAATTCATAGGCAAAGAGGTTGAATTCAAAGAAACTTCCAAAAGTTTGCAGAGGTGGCTCAGTAGTTAGGAGCACTTGTTTCTTCTGCTGAGGACTTTGTTCTGTTCCCAGCACACACCAGTCACTCACGATCATCTGTAACTCCAGTTTCAAGGCACCAGTCTTCTGTCCTCTTCAGGCATAAGGCATACATGGGGTACACATACATGTGGACATACATACATGTGGACAAAACACTGATACACATAAAATAAAGAAATCTAAAAAAAAGCCTTCAGTAAATATTTAAAATTATCAAATGCTGGGTTGTTTTATTTTCCTATCTGTTATTTTGGGGAAAACAGTTCTGAAAATTTACTTTATTAAGTTCTTGGTTTCTTTTATTATTATTTTTTATTTTTACTTTAAAGTTTTTTTGGGTGGTCTCCATGTAGCCCTGCTAGGGTGGTGCTCTCCATGTAACCCAGTGTACCTTTGAACTTGTGGATGGACCCTGCCTCAGTCTCTTGAGTGTCGGTATTACATCAGCACACCCTTCTCCAATTTTATTGCTGTATACTGATTAATTGGTCAGATGTATTATTATTTTCTTTATTTTTTATTCTTGATTCATTACTACATGTATGAAAAATACAATTTGATTTCCATTTAACCTTAATATATGATATAAATTATGTGTTATGATTCAATAGATAAGACTCAAGTTTTGGCTTCTCCATCATGTAAGGGCTCTTCTTATTTCTGCATTTGCTTTTTGTGTGTGATTGTGTGTGTGTGTGTGTATTTATGTAACAACAATATTTTAATCCCAAGAAGAAATAATTCCTAAAACATGTTCAAGAAATAATTACTGGAAATATTTTTATTTTTGAAGCACTTAAAACATGATTAACTCATGCAGACAAAAAGAAAACTGAAAAACAAAAACCAAACCAAACCAAACAACAACAAGCAACCAAACCTCAACTAAGATACTGTAGCTGTATTGATCATAATAATACAAAATGATGACTGAGTCAGAGAAACAGGAAAAAAAGGCCTGTCTTGTAAATGTTTCTTTTATTTTCTCAGATGTGGGGATGAGGTGAGAGCCATACCCAAGCTTTCTGAATACACGGCTTGGACTAAGCCCAGAGCACTTCTATCTAACCACCCCTATGCCTAGGCCTGGAAGCTTCAGTCCTCTATAGAATCTAATCTTCTGCAATCCTGAACCTGGAAGGCTTCAGCTTACAGCCTTCCTCTGCTAATTTAGGCCTAGACTATTTTTAGCCTCAGAGACTTACTATTAAACAAGCTCACACTTTCTAGTTCTTTCTGAATTGTGAAAGGCTAGTTCAACTCAGCTGTTCTGGCTCAAGGTCCTCTCCAAGCTGACTGATTCAATCTAGCTTCTCTCAGCTTCTGGCTGAATTGCTCTGCTTAGTTTTGCTCAGTTTTTGCCTCTGAACTCCACAAACTGAAGTGCACTGACTATATGAACTGAATGAGAACTCACATAAAACTCAACTGTGTTCAACTGAACTACACCAAACTCAACTCAACTCTAGAATTCTATTGTAGTATCTCCATGAGTTCTCTCTCACTCTGCATTGCTCTTAAGACAGTCTCCTTCCTGTCTGTTCTTGTGAGAGTTGGGCATATCCTATCTCTGACTCATTCTGTCAGATCTTTCTCTGATTTGTCACTTTGTCTACCCCTCAATTGGACATCACTGTTTGGAATTAAAGGTGTGTACCAAGAGTTTGTCTGTATTCCAGCCAGAGGGATTAAAGGTGTGTGGCACATCTGCATTTCAGCCGGATCACACAGAGCTAGTTCTCTGGATCCAATTCCCTTGCCAGAGCAGCCATGTTACTGATTAAAATTCCTCTATACTGTATATTAAACAACGCTGTTTTAAACGTGTAAAAGTAGAACCATGATTTAAATTCCAACCCAAAAAGTGATGTTATATATTCCAGTTGCAAAAGCAAGCAGTCATTTAATGGTTTCCCTTGGGTAACTGACTGGCCTTAAGAAAGTTTAAATGGCTTCTGTCCTCTTGGCTCATGTCCCAATGGGAAAGATTTTAGACACATTGGAGAACTGGCTTCTCCTTGAACTTTCTAACCATTTTTTATCTACTTAGATCATGTTTAGGACTCCTTTGCTGGCATGTATATATGTGTATCATGTGTGCAGTGCCCACACCAGAAAAGGGCACCAGATCCCCTGGAACTGGAGTTACAGATGGTTGTGAGGTATCTTGTTGAGTGCTGGAAATAGAACCTCTGTCCTCAGCGAGAGCTGCAAGTGCAAGATTGCTGGGCCATCTCTCCAGCCCCTGAGCAGTTTCTCTTGATTGCATCTTTTCCCTAACTGAATTATGTACCATAGGAAGCTAGCACCAGTGCCTACAGTATTGAGGCATGGCCTCTGTTGATGTGAACCTGACACAACAACCATGTGTCCTTTGGAAACATTTTGTACTATTCTGAGAACAGGGCTGGAGACAGTTATTGTAAGATCCATAGCTATGCAATACTAAGATCCTTCTTTATGAAAAATTAATAGGAACAAGCTTTTGGAAGAAAATTTGCACAGATAAGAAGCCCTGGAGCTTAAGACTCACTAAACTTGCAGAAAGCATGCCTCTTTCTGTGCCTTGGCACTTCCCCTTTCTATTGTTAGCAATAAAATTTAAAGAAGGGGTCTAAGGATCAACACATTTGTTAGTGTCCTTTCAGGGTTCTATTTGACTTCATGAGAAACTACTGAATTGTTTCTGTCACTTCTATAAGTATTTTCTTCATTAGTGTCAAATTTACTCCCTTAAGGAACAAAATGACATAAATGCAATATGCTGAATATGCTTTAAATGTGGCACTAAGGAAGCCTGCCATTCAAATACAGAGATACCTGCAAATTCTTTTTTTTAATAATTTATTTTTTATTTATTGATTATGATTTATTCACCTTGTATCCCAGCTATAGCCCCCTTCCTCATTCCCTCCCAAACCTACCCTCACTCCCTCTTCTCCTCCCATGCCCCTCCCCAAGTCTACTGATAGGGGAGGTCCTCCTCCCCTTCCCTCTGACCATAACCTATCAGGTCTCATCAGGGCTGTCTGCATTGTCTTCCTCTGTGACCTGGTAAGGCTGCTAACCTCTCATTGGGAGGTGATCAAAGAACCAGCCACTGAGTTCATGTCAGAGAAAGTCCCTGTTCCCATTACTAGGAAACCCACTTGGAGACTGAGATGCCATGAGCAACATCTGTGAAGAGGTTCTAGGTTATCTTCATGCATGGTCTTTGATTGGAGTATCAGTCTCAGAATGGACTTCTTTGTCCAGAATTTTTGGTTGTGTTGTTCTTCTTGTGGAGCTCCTATCATCTCTAGGTCTTAGCAAACAGGACGGACATAGGAAGAGGGAAAAATCAGGGAACAGGACAGGAGCCTACCTCAGAGGGCCTCTGAGAGACTCTACCTAGCATTGGATCAAAGCAGAGGCTGAAACTCATAGCTAAACTTTGGACAGAGTGCAGGGAATCTTATGAAAGAAGGGGGGGGGGTAGAAATTCCAGCAAATTCTATATTGGGCTCTTTGGGTGAGGACAGTTATGTCACCACTGGCTGTAAGCTACATCCTGATTCCATAGAGTTAAAACAAGAATTTGCATATCTCAGAGTTGATGGAATATAGTAATTAAAAAAAAATATTTAGTTTCTTTGAATTTTATGCCTGTGACTATCTGGCTGCAAATATGTACATGCAGTACCCACAGATGCCAGGAGAGGGCATTTGAGGGCTTCATATCCCTCACTGAGCCACAAAGTAGGTGCTGCGAATCCGAGTGGGATCCTCTGCAAAAGCAGCCAGTGCTCTTAACTGCTGACCCATCTCTCCAACCACAGGATTTTGTAATTCTTACTATACTATATTATATTTAGTTTACAGTTCTTCTATTTGTTTTAAATTAAAGCTTTATGAGATAACAGTTACATGCGCTAATGCTTACTCATTTGAATGTTCGGTCTAAAATTTAACACATTTAAATACTTAGGTAATCCACACCACAGTTTAATTTAAAACGTTTTTTGATCCACCAAAAAATTCTCATGATCATTACCAGTTGCTGCTCATCGATGTAATACCTGCTTGTTGTATTTATATTTCCACTTGATTGTTTTTACTCATCCTACTTTTTATGGCATAAATCTAATCTATTTAATGATTATAAACTCTGGGTGGTATTTAACCTTGCTTAGGAAGAGCAGATTTCCTCATTGCTGGAGTTCCTGGCTCTTAGCATTACATCTCAGTATTGGGGGTTGGGAGTGTGCAGGGCTATCTTGTATGGGCTTATGCTCTCTCTGGTTTTTCTCTGACTCTGTTAATCATTATACTTACCACTCTGGCCAGCTTCAAGCCCCATATGGCAATAGTAAACATTGTCAACCAGTCTGGCCTGGCCCCTGAAGAATGCCTACCTGTTGCTGCAAGGCCACCTTCACTTCCCTTATTCTGGACATGGAGATTTGCTTAAGCTTCAGCCCTAATCTGGTCATTGCTCCGTCTTATTATGAAGATCCCAGCCTCAGCTCCTGGTCTGGGCTTCAGTGACATTTTAATCCAGTGACCATGTGCTGGAGGACTTGTTGCCAGCCTCTGCTGCTTACAGACATAGCACTGAACTCTGCAGTTTTGCCTCCTTAGCTTCCCATTCCACTTCTGGTCTGAGGATATCTTCTCTTAACGTGTTTTTATTTCATTTTAAACAGGTTCTCTGCTCACACCCTACGTTATTATTCCCTGTGTTTGTTGGACTGTGCACACCTGCACCGAAGTATAGGTCATCTGGACTCTCACAGCAGGACATTAAAAGGCCACCTAACCAGCCAGGAGGCTTCCAGTGTGCCATATGGTCTTGTGCGGCAGGCTTATCTTTGCTTCTGGCATGTTTTAGTTCTGCTGTGTTGGCCACATGTTTGGAGACTC